TGTTCCTTTGCAAGATTCAATCACAACCTGGCAGTTCACCGGCATCAGTCTGTCAAGAACTCACGGTGAGGATTTGGTGACTAAAATATGGCTTTTTTTGGCCTTCCCTTTACTTTTTTAAAAATGTCATTCTTTTCTGCATATTTTCTTTAAGGAATCTGTGTGGGTGATCCATTTGAAGTCATTGTCAAGAAGGATTTCTTCATTGATCTCAGGCTGCCTTATTCTGCTGTCCGTGGAGAGCAGATAGAAATTAAAGCAATCCTCCACAACTACAGCCCTGATCTTATCACTGTAAGTACAGAACTGCAGTAATTACTGGACTGAAACACAGTGGTGTTCAAAAGTGTCATCTTGTGCAGTTTATATTGTGCATTTTCATGTTGTGTTCTCAAAATCCTTTGAAAAAAAGAGAAGTGATTATTAAAGAGATTATTTTAACAAAGCTCAGAAATTTAGTGCGTGTTAACCATAGGCTGCTCATTTTATGTAAAAATGTAGTTTGTTGTTGTTTTGGTTCATGAGCTTGAATTTTTTTTAATTTGTGTATTATATATAAGTGTAGACTTGTATATAGTTAAACATTATATAATGTTGAATTTTGAATATTGATTTGTAAATAATAGAATTTCAATCAAGGGGGTAGGAACAGAAGTTTCATCCTACTCCTTTTTGAGCATAAACATTGTGTAGACATAGAGATATTCACAAAAAGTTAATGTCATTAAGTTTTTCTTTTCTCTTGTTATTTTAGTTATAATTACATGTTCAAAGTAAAACTATTCTATCTATCTATCTAGGCTTATCATATATTACTAAAATTGAAGAGTACGATTCCTTTTTCATGTTGAGTTTATTACCTTAGTTTTCTGTAAATAAGGAGTAACTGAAATTGCCGAAAGTTAAAAGAATGCTCAAAAAATCTCTGTATTTCATCAGGATCTTTGTATTCTTCCAGTTTGAAACACCACATGATCAGTCTCTTCTCCAACTTTGTCATTGCTTTTTTTATTTTATAAAGGTACGCATTGAATTAACTGAGGAGGAGCACGTGTGCAGTTCAGCTTCCAAACGTGGTAAGTATCGCCAGGAGGTCACTGTTGGGCCAGAGACCACACGATCTGTCCCCTTCGTCATTATTCCCATGAAGGAGGGAGAACGGCGCATTGAGGTTAAAGCAGCTGTTAAGGACTCATATCTCAATGATGGCATCATGAAGATGTTGCGGGTGGTGGTAAGAAAACCAGTGTTTGCTATTTGTATGCCCAAAAATGTGTTCAATATCACTTTCTTATTAAATAAAACAAAAACAAAAAAATGTCTTATCTGAATGTGAACAGGCCTTTCAAAATTGTAGTAAAGGTAGTAATAAAATAATTTGAAAGTTATTGTTTGTTGAGGTTTAGGCACAAAAACGAACAGACAGAAACAATAACAGGACTCTGGCTCAATCCCAGACCAAACGTCAGACTGATAATTTTGTACACTAATAATATGTGTTGATCTTTTGTTCTAATCACTACATGATTATTACTGCCAAAAAATTTCCCTTAACAATCTCAGAAATCATCAAAAATATTATCAATAATCATACTGGTCAAATGCAT